TCAGGGAGATGAAGTCTTTCCCAAAGCTCCCAAGTGGCAGAGGAAGTTCTGCAACAGAGCCCTTCAGAGGCTAAATTGGTGGTTAAATCACTGTGCTGGGCAGGCTTAGCATTCACCAAAAGGTTGATGAGAAAGCAGCAGGAAGAGTCTGCTTGTAGAGAAGAGGCAACAAGGGAGGATATAGGGGAACGTGGGAGGAGTCGGGGCAGAGGAGGAGGTTGGGTCTGTGGTTGGCAACCCGGGATGGTTTGTATTCACTTGTCCAAGGGGGGTTTCTCACTGTGTCTTTACTGCAGGTGCAGTAGAGAGTTCTGCCCTGGATCACATTGGTCACGTGCAGCCTCAGCTCCGTGCTATTGACCCTCGTGACCTGGTAATGTGCTCCAGGATGGGATACGATCTCCTCATCCCCATGACTCCGCAGAGTGGCCAGCAGGTGTAGTTGCCCCTGGAGGTCCTGTTGGTACCAGCTCATCCAGGGGTACTGGGAATTCCTCAGGATGCAGTGCAGGGTTTTGTTCTGTCCGCGAGCTACCAGGACCCACCTGGGCCTTTGCTCCACCAAGCTCACAGTGGCATCTGAAATACACAGGTCAAGCTAAAGGTCCCGAGGGTAGCAGTAACTCCCCCAAATAATCAGCTGCAGCCAAATCCTGAAGAGGGGGACCCATGAGCAATGCCAATAGGAGACTCCTGGGAGCAGAAGGAATGCTTTCTCGTGGGGGTGTTATACCAGTGAGGATCTTAACAAGGCTGGGATCTGGGAGCAAAACTTTCTGTGCCTACTGGTCCCTCTTTCCCTCCCCCAACCCATGGAGAGCTTTTTCTGCCTGGCCTCTTACCTGTACTCACAGTAGCCATGAGTGCCCAGCCCCACAGGATGGAAAATGGTCCCATTCCCTGGCCCCACAGGCTTTCTCCTGTGAGGCAGTGGGTCAAGGTCAGGAGAACAGGATCCAGGTCTATAAGGTGGCAATTAGTAACTGACACTCTAGGCCTGAAACTCAAAAGGGAGTGGCTTTTCCAGGAAGCTCAGTATTTTGTCTCATTGTCTCACTGAGGTTCAAACCCTATGGGGTTTCCTGTTTCCTGCATGCCAACAGCCCTCAGGCAGGCAGGCAGGCACAAACCCCCCCCTTCACTGAGTGCCTTAGTGAAGGTACGTGGCCTGTGCCCCAGAGATTCTGAACACAGACAGTAGTAGTTCTGAATGTGCACCTCAAATCTTCCCAAGGGATTCAAACATCTCAATGAAAGCAAGTAGGCTGGTAGATTGAGCGAAGACCTCCCTCCCCCGTATGCTTCACACACGCACAGAGGCAGCCCCGAGGCCAAGCTGGGCAGGAGACAGTTGGGCTCTCATTTCCAATTCCCGTGTTCTCCTCTGTAAGGTCAACTAACAAATTAAACATAAGAGACTTAATTTTCCCCGTTGAAAATAAGGGAAGAGACTTACCTCCTGTCCATTTCCTTAGAGCATTTGCTTTAGAAATCTTGTAATTTTAAGTTCTCTCTCTTTCTCTGAAATATATGTAAATCACCCAGAAATGTTTTTCTCTAGGACCTGCAATCAATCTCTTTGAAATACAAACATCAAAATGAGCCTAACTTTATTTAGAGCACATGCCTCACACCAAGTTGCAAAATGATGCCCTGTCATAAAGATAGATGGTAAGATTACTCGTCCTCTGGGTAAACCCGGATGGGCCCCGCAGTTAACAAGTGACTCCGGGACGGCCTCTCCAGCCTCTTGTTTGAGGACTGGTTATCACTTACCTCGAGAACGCGTATGTAATGGGTTGTGTCTGATGGCCTATATAAAAAGGCCGGGATTTCTGCCTGTCTTCCTAACAAAATGCCTGGGATGTATATCACATTCTGATTTAATGCTTCTTCAATAATAAGACTGCTTTCTTTCTCTTCTACTTCTGGGGAGAGATTTCCCGAGTTGGGAGTAGCTTTGATTTTTGGTTACATTTTCCTGACAACGCCCAGTGCTGGCATCACCTAGCACTGTGGCCTTCGGACTCAGTTTATCCATCTCAAAGATAAAGATAATAATGAGAGTGATTTCATAAGAGTAAATAGACTCACACACGAAAAATTCTTGGAATAGAGTTTGGCACAGACGGAGCGCTTAGTGAGTTGACTTCTGTCACGTCAATGGTAAATTGCCAATTCAATTTACATATGACAGAATTTATGGTAGGATTTACCTCCCTTTATCTCTCTCTTAGTCATCAGCTGAGATGAAAATCACAAGTTCTCCTAACTTTCTAACATTGGCAAGAGGTCTCATTTCTCATAAAGTTTGGAAACCAGTGATCCGGGAAATTAGATTTAAAAGACCCCCTTGGGGCCCCTGGGTGGTGCAGTCAGTTAAGTGTCTGACTCTTGGTCTTGGCTCAGGTCATGATCTCAGGGTCCTAGGATGGAACCCAGCATCAGGCTCCTTGCTCAGCATGGAGTCTGCTTGAGATTCTTGCTCCCTCTCCCTCTGTCCCTTCCATTCGTGTTCTCTCTCTTGAAAATAAAGAATCTTTAAAGACCGTCTCTTCACCCTCAGCATTTTACAGACAAAAACATGGGGACATATAGGGGTCTAGCAACCAAACTTTACTATTTCAAGACCTGCGATTGCACTGTATTCAAGTCGGTGATTACGGTGAGGTGTCTGAGCCTTCATGGACCCTTGATGAAGGAAGAAGGGAACTATAGCAAGGTGAGACCACAGACCCATCACCCCGGGGAGCCCACACATCAGGGAACAGCTGTGGCCTGGCATCCTGGGGCTTTGCACCTCCCAGATTCGATATTTTTGTTAATCAGCTGACATATAAATACAACAATATGGTTCACGTGATTCCGGCAAAGGGTAACGGTTATTGATGCCATGTGCTGACAACATAATATAGTTTCTAATTCAGTTGGCTTGATAACTTTGAAATCTTTGTGGTTCTGGATTTTTAAAAAACGCTCATTTTCATTATGTACAATTTTGTGTATAAAGTGGGTTTGTTAATATTTTCTATATCAGACGGTTTCAAATGTACATGATTGTGCACCAAATGTCCATCGCCTGGCATTCTAAGTAAAATGTGTCGCTTCTCTTTTGGCTCTTGCTCTTACCTATTCCCAACCTCTTCTCTCCAGAGAGGGCGGGGGATGATGCTCTGGGAACCATTGCCCAAATCACACACCTTGAACACCAGAAATATGTACGTGCCAACACAGAGGCATCCTCACCTAGCAAGCCATGTGCATTGCATTCTGAGGTTACTGTGGAGAGAGTGGCTCTGGGGGTCAGATGATGAAAGGGAAGGGGGCTGGGAGCAGGGAGCAAACCAGAACTGAGGGAAAAGGTGAACAGGGAGAGAAAAGCCGAGTGGGTGGCCAGAGGGAGCCCGGGAGCAGAAACCCTGAGGCTGCAGGGAGGCTCCCACCTCCCTCCCTCAGGCGGGCACTCTGGCAGGTAGACAGATTTCAGGATAAGGGATCCTGGCCCCATCTTGGTTTACAGGGCTGGCTGACCTGTCTCCCTGCCTCCCCCTCCCCGAGCCTTAATCCCCAAATGCGATTGGGATCGGAGTGTCTCTGACACTCCTGTTATCTCCTCCCTGGATTCCTGCTCCTCAAGGTCAGTGCCTCCCCAGGCTCCTCCTCTGGTTTTGGCCCTGCTCCCATCCTGGGCCAAGGTAAGCCTCTTCCTTCCAGATGGCTGCAGAGCAACCTCCCTGCTCCCATGCCCAGAGCTGGCATTATGGTCGCTGTCTTGGGAGATGGGTTTTTTTCTCCCACCACACCTCAATTCCTACTCAGGTGCTCACAGCAGCTGCCAACAACCTCAGGTGGGTCCTTACCAGCTTTGATGAACTCAATAGATAATGAAAAGAGTATGCATGCCCTGAACGGAGGCATAAACAGATGCTCCAGCTCCTGTCCACTGAGGTTTGAGCTGAATTCCCATGTGATGTGTGGTCCAGTTTCTGTGCTAGGGGATGCCTACTGGGCACACGTCCTTAGTTTTTCAGAGCCTCTCCATTGTCTGATGGTGAAAGGACACTGGGGGTCAGTGAGGTGATTTCCAGCTTCCGCTCAGCTATGTCAGAGCCTGGATAGAAAAAAAACGCCAGGCATACAGTGAGATGTGTGTTCCCTCCCTAAGAAGCAGTCCGCAGATGACAACTCCCTTCACCAGGGCAAGCCATGGTGGGAAGGCACTGCGGGTGGCTAGGCGCCCAGTGGGTGTCTGTAACCTAGGCAAATAGTGGAAAGAGCACTGGCCTGGGGGCAGGGCCCCTGTGTGCCAGTGTTGACTCTGCCTCTGACTGCATGGGGGATCAGGCACTCCTCCTGTTACCTCTTGGTATTTCCCTTTACTCATCTAAAAATTAAGTGGATCTAAAATTCCTTTCCACTCTGGCATTCTAATATTCTAACATTCCTTCTGTGCTTTTATGGTTTGAATACTGAAGCACTTGTCAGTAGGGACCCTGGGCCAAGCCCCCAGTAGAGTGAGAGTCACTAAATGTGACTTCTCTGGCAGGAATTCACAGAAGGAAGGGTAGAGCACCAAGCATCCCAAGGGCCAGTTTACATTTACCTCCATTGTCTCCCTCTTCTTCCCCTCCCCTCCTCCTCCTCCTTGCTGCTCCCCAGGAATGTGCAGAAACTCAAGGCCAACCCAGACTCACCCATCTGGAAAGCTGATTATGGCTCCTTCACCTCTATGTGTCCTTCCAGGGATTAGTAGCAAAGACTCCTCCGGGAGATGGAAATCATAGCCTTCCCTGAATGCCCCCTCAGAAACTTCTCTCCTTCCTCTGCTGCATGTCTTCAGTCTCGCCCCTTCCCCCTGCTATGCCCCAGTTCCAGATATAGAAAATGCCCATAAAAGCTGGGGCAGGGGGCAGGTGCCAGAGAGCAGAGTGCTCAGTAAGGACATCAAAGATACAGGGGTCGGGGCGGGGGCAGAAAGGGAAAGAGAGAAATAGAGACAAGGAAGGAAAAGCAGGGAAAAACCCAAACCCCAGGGAGGACCCTGGCATGGGGTTGGAGTAGAAGAATCTAAGTGCCCTGCTCCTGAGAATTTCATGTCAGGTCCCTGCTCTGGGGCAAGAGCAATCTGCTCTGCACCCTCTCTGGGCACCTCACACCTCCAGAGTTATGTAAGTGGCACCACTCTGAATCCAGAGGATAATCAGATCAGAAGAGCCCCAGTCTGTCCCTCCTCCATGGCACGGTGCCCGGCACAGGTAGGGACACATATAAATCCATACTTCTTGAGTGTCCATCTGTAGGAGAGATACTCCAGACCCCAGGAGCCATGACCTGTGCCCTTCTCTTCAGACTTCTCCTACTTACGGCCCTGGCAGCCCCCTCCCAAGGCAAACACCTTGGCCCCACATCTCGCCTGCGTTATTCCAGGTTCCTAGATCCTTCCAATGTCATTTTCCTGTGCTGGGACTTTGACCTTGAGGCTGAGATCATCACTTTTGAGCTGCAGGTCCGGACAACTGGCTGGGTGGGCTTGGGTGTCACAAATCGCTACACCAGAGTGGGGAGTGATCTGGTTGTTGGAGGAGTCCTGCCTGATGGCAACATCTATTTCTCGGTAAGTCTGAGGGTGTCTCCCTTCCAAGGATGAAGGTCTCTTGCTGGTTGAGGATGGCTCTGAGTCCAGGAAGGATCCACATTTTCCAAACTTATCCAGGAACATGCCCAGAACACCAGTTGACTACTGACCTCTCCCTACAGAAATGGTCCACCGGAGAGTTTCAAAATAGGTCTTCTGGACTGCGTGGCCCTAAGGTGCTAAAGAATGGTACCACTGGACTGAAAGAGTCCTGAACCACTAAATGCAGGACAATGGGAGAGAGTCAATGCTATTTGAGACCCAGTCTTTAGCCCTAATTTCTGTTAAGCTCAGTCAGGTTGACCACAACATAAAGTGGTCTAATAACCACAGCAGCAGCTACAATAATAACAGCTTAAAATTGTTATGTACTTTTGATCAACCAGGCATTGTTCCAAAATCCTTCCATGTTAAACCTCATAGCCTCACTATAAGGTGGATGATTACTACCCCATTTTACAGATGAAAAAGCAGCTCACCCATCTCTCCGAATCTCATCCATAGGAACTGCATTTATATGGGGAAGTGTCAATGTTATGAGCCACAAGAGAGGACAAATAGCATAGAGAGTTCAGAGAGTAAGTGAGCTTTCAAGGGCTGGAGATACAGGAACACTAGGATTTATGGACTTGGGATTTGGAACGGGAGCAGTAAATCAAGGTCAAGTGGTACAGACACTGTCCATCCCTCTGTCCCGGGGATCCACCCTGATGTCATTCTCTGTCCCAAGAGTAAACTGCAAAATAAAGGACCTGGATTCTGCCAATTTAGTACCTTGGGGTTGCTAAAGGGACACCAGCTTCTCCAAAGTCATGACCACCGGGGTTTCCTGTTCTTACTCTTTGGACTTCACTGGACCCCAGGATCAGCACCTGGTGGATGAAGACACCCTGGAGGAGGACGGGAGCCAGGATGCTGAGCTGCAAGGGCTGACCGAAGATGCTATCTACACCACCATGCGCTTCTCCAGGCCCTTCCGCTCCTGTGACCCTCACGACAAAGACATTACGGTAAAATAGTAAGGGGAGAAAAGCATTCAATCGTAAGCAGCTTTTCCTTTTGGGGATGTGGAGTCACCCCCAATCTAGAACGTGCATGTGTCTCAGGCAGCAGTCACAGTTCCCAGGGGTTCTCTCCCTCTCTACCTTTCCAGGCACTGCCCCAGTCATGCCCCTCTCCAAATCCATAAGCTCTCCACAGAGTGATTCCCTACAGATTAAGCACCCACCCCACCCTCCTCTCATTCCCCTCTCCAAGAACTTTGCCTGATTTCACTGAACTTTAGGGTGGACACAGGCATTGAGAGGGAATGTGACTTGCTCAATATTTTCAGCAAGTTGGCCCCTGAAGTAGAACTAGAACCTGACTAGTTCTGACCCCTGAGTCGGAAGCTCTTTCTATTCCACTGTGTAGCCATGAGCAAGAGGCTTGTGTCAGTCCTTGGGTGTGGGTGTGTGCAAAGTGCTGCTCACGGGCAGTAGCACCTCAATGCCCATGACACCCCCAGAGTGACACCATAAAGGTGCTGGCCACCTATGGCCTGGATGACACTCTGAAGCTGGATCGGGACCGTACTTTTATCAAGTCCATCTTCCTGCTACAAATAGTCCATCCTGATGACCTTGATGTCCCTGAGGATACCATCATCCATGACTTGGAGATCACTGATGTAAGAGTCCTCCACCCCACCCAGCAACCTCCAAGCCTCCTTCCCATCTTCCCACTCAATCTAGACCCTCCTCTTGCACCTAATACTCAGTACGTTCCTTGAATTGATGTTACTGTGACTTCTTGTAATTCTCCAAGGACCACCAAGCTGGTCTGTCCCTTCCCTGTCTTCTCTAAGAGCCTCATTTCCAACCCAGCTCATCCTCTGTGTGTTCTTCTCCAGTTCCTCGTTCCAGAGGATGATACCACATATGCCTGCACCTTCCTCCCTCTCCCCATCGTTAGCAAGAAGCATCACATCTTCAAGGTACAGTGAACCAGACACTGCTAAGGCAGTTGAGCAATGCAGTGGGCACAGTCAACTCTGAAGGGATGGTGTTTGGATAACTGCTGAAAGGAGCCCAGAGAGAAGTAGCTGGGAGAACATGGGCACCTGGTCAGATTTGGTGGGGGTAGTAGTTTCATGCTTTCCTGAGCCCAGAACTATAACTCCCAGCACTGTTCTATCTAAGCCCCACAATGCAGCAAAGATTTTGATGAAGGTCATCAATTAGTAAGTGTTTCCAAAGAGCAAAGTATAAGCCCCACCTTGGTTGTGCTCATGGCCTAGGAGGAAATTCAGGCTGCGGGGACAGGGCCAAGGGCTCTCAGGTCAGTGAAGTCTGGCTAAGGGGAACTCCAACGTGGTCACCTGATTTCACAGTTGAGTTATTTCAAATTTTGATCTTACAAAAACTAACAAATGTGTGGGAGCCATTTTTTTTCTTTAGAGGAGAATCCAATGAGGCATGTGCTCAGATATAGTGGACTGGTGATGTTATTAAGGGCAAGTCAGGAGTCTTGGGGATATTCTTGGCTAGATTTAATATGTTGTGCCCTCGGGGGAGGAGTTTAAAAGGGTGAGGCTGAGAAAGAAGTCAGACAAAGTGGGCTAAGTGATGGGTTGGGGAAGAAAAACAGAACAAGTAGAAAAGAAAGAGACACAGAAGTGGGGAATGGGTATAGATTTATTTGGGGAAAAGGGATGGGGAGAATAGGACTTGACATAGAAGATCTTGACATGCTCTGCCTCCATCTCTCACCCAGTTTGAGCCCAAGCTGCCGGAGCACCACGAGTCAATGGTGCATCACATCCTGGTGTATGCATGTGGCCATGCCAGTGTTCTCCCCACGGGCATCAGTGACTGCTATGGGGCTGACCCTGCCTTCTCCCTCTGCTCACAGGTCATCGTGGGCTGGGCTGTCGGGGGCACAGTGAGTCCTGTGATGAGGGAACTAGGTGGCTAAGGGGGGAGAGTGCATGTTGTCAGGCAACTGGGATTGCTGGACTGACTGATGGCAGACCAGGAGATAGGGGAGGTCTGGGATGAGGGCCAGAAAACACAGGCACGTTCCAGTCCCTGCACTCAGCACCGGGCCCTTCTTGCTGCCAAATCTTCCTCCATCCAACAGAGTTACCAGTTTCCAGATGATGTGGGTATCTCTATTGGGACCCCCTTAGACCCCCAGTGGATACGACTGGAGATTCATTACAGCAATTTTCACAACCTTCCTGGTGAGCATCTAGAGTATTTATGGAGGAAGAGCTGGTGCAGCTTGCTGATTCTTTTAGGAGTTGGGAAGCTGCTGTGGGAGGCACGCTGGCTTGTTTTGGTCACAGCCCTGTCCCAGCTTTCCTGGGCCTCTTGATCTCACATTGTGACCAGCTCTCTTGTCTTCTATCATTGTTCCATTCTGCACCAGGTGTGTATGACTCCTCAGGCATCCGATTATACTACACTGCACAGCTGCGCAAATACGACACGGGGGTCCTCCAGCTGGGCTTCTTCACTTTCCCCATCCACTTCATACCCCCAGGCGCAGAGTCCTTCCTGTCCTATGGGCTGTGTAAGACAGAGAAGTTTGAAGAGGTGAAGCTGGGAGGCACATCCTCCCTGAGGTTCCTTGTTTCCCATCCCAGATCTGGGCTGGTCCGTAAGCACACACACACTGAGCCCGGGACTTTGAGAAAAACTACACCCGGTGCTCAGGAAAACCGCTAACCTGGATCATGCAAGGGAAGGAAGGAGTTGGGGCTTTGGGGACTGGGGGGTGGGGCAGGAAGAGGGTCCATGAGGGCCCAGTAAGAACGAAAGGGGCTCCTGTCGGTCATATGAAGAGGGTGTCAAATGTTAAGGGAGGCAAATCAAGGAACAGGGCAAGATGAGAGTTCTTACCAAACCAGATGTGTCTCCTCCCCATCACAGATGAATGGGGCCCCAGTGCCTGACATACAGGTCTATGGCTACCTGCTCCACACCCACCTGGCTGGCCGTGCTCTGCAGGCCGTGCAATACAGGTAAGGGAAGGCATGGACTTGAAGCTTTCCCATCTGCATGTGGGAACAAATTTGAGGATAGTTATTTATTCTGCAGCATAAGGTTATGCTTGGTTGGGAGTAGGAGGAGCTGGAACTACCCTTAGAGTAGAGGTGGTTGGAATAAGACTATGGAAGGAGGAGCTTTTCTGTTTTTGGGCAACCTGTCCCCCCAGCATGAGCCCATACACTACTTCATTCCCTCTAGAAATGGAGCACAACTCCGAACAATCTGCAAAGATGATTCCTATGACTTCAGTCTGCAGGAGACTCGAGATTTACCTTATCGAGCAGAGATCAAACTGGTGGGAGCCTGAGGGGAGGCATGACTGGAGTTGGGGCGGGGAGGCAGGATCAGAGGTCATCACTGTTAGCCAAGAGAGTTCTAAGGCTGTACCAGTCCTTCTGTGTCTTACTTTCAGCCTTCATGTTTCACTCTGAATAGGGAGATGAGTTGCTGGTGGAATGTCACTACCAGACGCTGGACCGGGACTCCTTGACTTTTGTAAGTACCACCCTTCCCACCGTGGTCAAGCACAATGACCTCAGAATAGAGCCCATCCCTGGCCTTGGCTATAGAGTGACTCTGATTATTCCAGCTGAAGCCCTTTTCTCCATCCAATGGTATTATCCACTCACATGGGGCTTTTCATGCTCTCACATCCCCGTGACTTTAAGATGGGTACAAGGATTCCCTACTTTCTCTGTCGTTGACCCACTAAGACCATGGGCAGAAAGCACATTATAGTAACCCAGAGCATGGACTCTTGTTCTCCATGCCTGGTTTCTAATGTCAACACAATCATTAGCTTTCTAACCTTAGACAAGTTATTCAATTTCTTTGCACCTCAGTTTCCTAATTCATACAGGAACTAATAATAGTACCTCATAAAATTGTTGTAAGAATTTATTAACCTATGTAAAACACCTAGATCATTGCCTGGCTTGTAGTGGATGCTCAATTAGAGTTAGCTGTTGTCGTTATGGTCACAAGGAACCCCACCCCTTTTGTGTGTCAAGAGTGGTTCAGTGCTTATAGGATTCCAAAGGGGTTGCATGCTATTGAGGAAGAAACTACAGCCATATATATTATTATTATGTGATGTAGAAAGTGATACATACCATAAGAGACAAATGGGAATAGTGCATAAGGGGATTCACAGGGAAAAACCATAAGGCCCTACTATGGTGAACTGAACATGTGACATATTTGAGTAGGTCCAGCTTTAGACATGTAGAGATGAGGAATCCTGGAGAAGCTCAAAGGGGAGTGAGTTTTTCAGGAAACTCAATATCTTCTTTCATCTTCTCAACCATCTTGTCTCCTCGAACCAGAGCAGAGGCCATTGAAATGTAGAGGACAGGGCAGATATTATTTCTTTGGAAATAATATCAATGATTGTCCACAAATTGGAAAGAGAGGAGGTAAAAGGAAAGGGAGGGTAAGAAGTAGATGAACATTCAGTCAGCTGGTTGTAGGTTAAGTGAAAAGGAAAACAGCATCATTGGTAGAATGACCGCTTACACTATTTTCTGTCTGCCTTGTTCCCCTCACTCTGCTTGCCTTTGTGACTTTGTGTTCCATCTCTGTCTCTCTCTTCTTCTCCAGGGGGGTCCCAGCACCATTAATGAGATGTGCCTCATCTTCCTCTTCTACTATCCCCGAAACAACATCTCCAGCTGCATGGGGTACCCTGACATCATCTATGTGGCCCATGAGCTTGGGGAGGAGGTATCAGAGTGAGTCATCCTGGAAGATAAGACCTTCAAGTATGTGTGGGAGGGGTCTTGGGGAAGACTGGAGAAGGAGAAAAAGGAAGACCACCTACTACCTCCTACATTAGTGAGTCAGGATTCCTCAGTGGGCTGCCTGGTTGGCTCCTGCCCTCCTAACACCTACTTCTGTCAGTGTCTGACTCTCAAAGCTCTTACATAAGACCAAATAGAGGGTTTTTTTTCCCCCATATCAATGAGGCCATTCAGAAAAGCAGATAAGAACTGACCTATAAAAGTTAGATCACTTATGTACAAATTCTCTGTCTGCCTTTTTCTCATGCGCTACCTGATTCAATCAAAGACTGTTTACTTTTAAGTAATGACCCTTAATTATTTAGGGGTGAGGGTTTCCAAGAAAAACGCACATCTGTGCAGACACACCAATTCCACATACAATTTCAGGGCCTTTACTGGTTCCCTGAAGTCACTCCATCCACCTTCTTGGACTTCATGGCTCCCAGATTAAGAACTACTTCTTTAAAGAGCCAGGAATTTCTCTTTTTCGCTTTAAAAAATTCTCGTCTGTGAGTTTTGCAATTTCTCATTCTACCAAATTCATGGTTGTCTTATTGAGTTGTGAGGCACTCCTTTTGGCTTATGCTGACATGGAAATGATGCTAACAAACGTGAAGGCATTTTGTCAAAGCTTTGAGTTGACCCTAACCTATCGTTTGTTGCCCCTGCCTACGGCAGCCCCATGGAGGGCATGATGGCCATGAACAATGTTGAGTGGACCCCAGAGAACATTAAGAAGGCTGAGAAAGCCTGCAAGGAGGCCCAGCAGATGGTGATAATAAAGACCATTGATGTGAGTGTCCCAGGAGACAGCACCTTCTCAGGGTTGGGGATGGCAGGTTGTGGGATGGTGTTGGGCCAAGCTTGGAAAAGAAAGGAGGAAGCTAGTGAATGACAAAGGCGGGAACATTGGGTCAGGGAAAGAGGGGCTGGGGAGCAGAAAGATGGGCTGGTGCTGTTCTGGACTATGGAGTGGTGGGGGTCTCCCAGCTAGTTTGTGAGGCTGCAAGAACTGGGGATCAGCAAGTAAGGGCTGAAAAAAGGACATGAGTGGGGGAGGCTTCTGCCTTTAACCATTTTCTCCCATTTTCCTTGTGCTGCAGGAATTGGTGGAAAACACGACAGGCTGGATTCCGGAAATCATCCCAACTGCTCGGGGACCCTGCTTGGAGTCCTCTGGAGGCAAAGTGGAGCCCCAGGACAAAACCCCTGCAGGCTTCAAGGCTGAACCAGTGGCCCTCTCAGGCTCCAGCACTGCTAGCCTGAGGCACCTCCCTCTGGCTGCCCTCTTGTTTGGGCAGGGGGCTCTTTCTTGGCTTCTTGCCAACCTGCAGGTTGGAGTCTGATACTGTCTCCTCATTTCAAATACTCAGGTTCCTCTCTGCTCAGCCTTCCCCTTATTATCAAATGTAGAAACTCCCCTCTGCTTCAGCTCCCCAAAGTCCCCCATTTGTGCCCCTTCCCATGACCCAGGCCATGACATTGCAGGCCTGGGGATTGCAACTCTTCCATGAGGCTCTTCCATGCTGAGGGATGCAATTCAGCCTTTAAAGCTTTAGAAACACTGATGGGACCACATATTTTCTGACAAAATCTGGATTCAAGGCTGGACCACTCTCTGAGAAGTCTGATGTTCCAGCTTACCTAAGGGGGTGCCAGCTGGGGAAGGGGGGGGCTTGCATGCAGAGGGAGAGCCCTCCAAACCCTCCCTTGCCCATGCTGACCCTAAAGGGGGCTCCTGGTTCTTTTCTTAAGGCATTTTTGGCCCAACCCTCCCTGTGAGGCAGAGGCAGCAAGCCACATGTGTGATTTGTAGTAAAGGGAAAGGCTGTGGTTATAAGGGACAAAGCTCAAGACATCAGATTAAATAGAACTTAACTCACTTCCTGTTGCCATCTCCTTCCTTTGAGCCTTTGGTCCAGGAGAGGAAGCTGGGAAGTCTCTTGAATGGCTCAGGATAAGGCATCCAGAGGGTATTTGAGGATCCAGTTGCCCAAAAGGCAACATCAGTTGCAGTCCTTGCTCTTCTCACCTGTGCCTCTATGAGATGATCTTTATTTATCCCACCAAGGGTCACATTCTCAACACTCAGGTCACTAGGGGTCAAGAGCCTAACTGGCCAGGCAGGGTGAACTGGGCTCTGAAAATGGGTCAAGGCCAAGGTGGAGTGGGGCAGTCCTTAGCTCTGGAGCCCAGGGCATGTCAAGAAGGTTCACGTGGACAGAGCAGGGAATAGACACAAATCGACTGTGCAGTCAGGCTGCAATCTGCAACCACAGTTGAAAGGAACTGTGCATTGGCAGTGGCTATTCTGGATTTCTGGGGGGCATTTCTGTTTTCTAAGCTTGAGAATCTGTGTAGCACCGTGTCCTTTGAGATTTAAAGTCACCATGCTACTTTATGAATTGCCTTGCTCATTGTTCACGTGCTCTGGGTTGGGACCCCTTCTCTGGCTATACCGAGGTGTTTAGAGGAATCTTAGTCTCTTGGAAACCAGGGAGCTGGCCTCGGTAAATTGTTTACCACTGCATGAGGGGCCAAGCGTTGATTGAACATCATAACCCTGCTTCCTGGCAGAGGAAGCTCTGGGACTGAAGAGGTATATGCCAGATGATGAGCACTTTATCTTTACTGTCACTTCCTCTGGAGAATTCTGGAGGCTCCATTCTAAGATTATGCAACATCTTCAGTGTTCACATTCAGCTCCTGCAGTCTCAGTCCTGGATATTTTCAGTGCTTGGGGTCACTTCTGGGCCTTGTAATGTGTGAGCAGAGGGACTTGCTGTCGTTAATCAAAGAGGTTTTTCAGTTCATGATTGTGGAAAAAATTAGGCTCACCTGAAGCCAGAGGACTGTGTGTCTGTCACTGTTGAGTATCTCTGTGGTCCCACCATTCAAGGGAAATGGATTTCCTTTTGATCCTAAAACACGGTTGATGCCGTTTGGCACCTGAGTGAAGTACACAAATTACTTTCTACAGCATGAGAAAACACTCAGATAAAGATGAGATGTAGATAGAAACGTGACACAAAGCACAGACCACTTTTCTCTTTGCTTTGTCAAGTCTGACATTTCTATTCCAATATTCTGTATTACTCCAAGGCCCCCAAGCACATTCTTTCAACCCCAACCTCCCAGGTTAAAACAAAAACCAAACACCATTTCTGGCTGGGTTTCAGAAGCCAATCCTCAGTTTTCACTGCAGCCTTAGTCTCAGGTCTACCCTGACAGGTTCAAGCCAGCTGGGCTACTACTCCCAGGCTCCGCCCCAGAATCTCCCTGTGGCTCCCTTTGCTCAGATCATGACCCAGTGTGGGTCCCAGGCACCTCTGCTTTCCTTTGTGCTCCCTTGAATTTCCTGTTCTTATTTAGCCTTCCTTCTTTTGTCTTATTTTTCTTTCCATCTCCTGACTTCAGCATTTAGTGATCATGCACATACTCACTGAGCACCATCTGTGTGTTTGACATTAGGTTAGAACAGGAGCCACTGAAATGAACAAAAACTGGGACAAACACCTGCTCTGCCCTTGTGAGGCTGTGGTCAAGTTTCTACGAACCCTTCAATGGCCATTTTCTCCTTGGGCTCACACTACCCACCTCTGAGCTTTTCCCAGTGCCTGAGTGTTTGCTCCCCAACTGCCGAGAGAGAGGAACTCTGTATCAACCTATAGAGAATGATGTTTCTATAGTTAAAAGGGATGCATTTACATTGTACATATACTAGACAGAGAGCTCAGACCAATACTTCAGGGGAAATGTTTTAAAACATTCATGCTTAGGGTGGGAGACTTGATGCCTCGAGGCTTGAGAGCTCAGACCAATACTTCTGGGGAAATGTTTTAAA